GTCATGTTCGACCGACATTACACGAAGGCTCCAAATGAAAAGAAAGGAGGTGATCCTTATTTTCTGGCTATTTGCAACTACTGTCCGGCCAATTCGAAGACGAAGTATCAGTTCAAAAAAGGCGACGGGTACGGAACGTTGACCCGACATTTGAAGAATGTTCATCCGACAGTAATGGAAATCGACACGGCACAGACGCAATTCCCAAGTAGCAGCGGAGCATCCGTCTCAGCCACTCAAGGTGCAGGTACGTCTTCTTCTTTATTTCATTATTCTCATGAAAATCATAGACGTCATTTAGCTGAATTTGTTTCTACTTCGTCTCTTTCTTATAGTTTTGGTGATAGTGATTTATATGAAAATTTTGCTCAAATGGCTTTAAATCCGTCTGCCAACCGAGTTCCTCGTACCACCCTTACTCGCGATATTCGAAAAATCGTGAGTGAGAAGAAACTAATTTTAAAAGAAAATTTTAAATCTTTAAATCATAGAGTATCCATTTGTGCTGATATATGGTCCGATCAGTGGATAAATAATTTTTATTTAGGGATTACTTGTCATTGGGTTGACGATAGTTGGACTTTACAAAAACGTTTAATCGGTTATGTTGCATTTCATGAACGACACACTGCTTCTAATATTGCTCGTTTAATTTCAAAAATCTTAGATAATTATAGTATTGGTAAAAAAGTATTTTCAATTTCATTTGATAATGCGACTGCAAATACTGCATCTATACGTGAATTAAATGATGTTTGTACACCAATCTGTGGGGGTAGATTTTTTCATATTCGTTGTATATGTCATGTTTTAAATTTGTGTGTTCAAGCTGGTTATCATGTTTTTAAGGATTCTGTAAAGCCAATAAGGGAGGCCGTCAATTATTTGCATAAACGTCCCCAAGAAATGAAAGCATGGGGACGATTTTGTAAGAGTGTTGGAATTAAACCAAAAATATTCCAGCCAGACGTGCCTACCCGGTGGAATTCAACATTTAAAATGTTGAATGTCACCGCTGATTATGCCAAGCATTTACAGGATTTTTTTAATGATACAAACCGTAGGGATTGTGATGTTCGACTTTCGGTGAATGATTGAGCAAACTGTTCGCAACTTACAAATTTTTTAGAAACATTTCAAAACGCTACTAATATTCTTTCTGGTGTTTACTATCCTACTGCTCAACTTGTGGCAGTCAATGTATAGCTATAATGTGGGGTTTTAAAGATATTTATGACTTAGATCCTTTTAAATATTCTGGTCTAGTAGAAAATATGTTAGAAAAATGGCTAAAATATTATTACTATATTCCCGATACATTTTTAATTGCATGTCTGTTAGATCCTACAGTTCGTGAGCAAGGTTTGTTAAATCAACTTAATATGTACTATGATTATATGTATCAATTGCCACTGCCGAGTGGGGTCCCGACTTACAGGGACAAACCTAACATACCGCAGCTCGTCGAGCAAGCAAAAAATTTGTTGTATGACATGTTCAAGGAAACATCGATCGCACATGGAGAGTCTCCCAGCACATTTGTTCGTAGCAGCGGCGCAAGCGACAGCGGGTCTTCATCTTCGTACGGAGGGCAAAGCGGCAATACAAACTTCGGAAACTTCAAAGTGTTTTGGGATTCATTAAATCCCTACAAAAACTCGGGCGGTCAAAGGGTGCAGGGGACTGGATACTATGAGCTGGATCACTACCTTACGTCGAATTTAGCCGTTACGATTGCACGTCCACCTCAACCGCCACTCAATTTCGATGTGTTAGATTGGTGGTCAAGAATGGGAGGAATTTTTCCTATTCCATGCATTATGGCTAAGGAGATCTTTGCTGTCCCAGCATCTACAGTCGCGGTTGAGCAAACATTCAGTGAGGGCGGCTACATGCTAGATCCACGACGGTCGAGGATGACGCCTGATAATCTTCAAGCACAAATGTTACTGAGTGATTGGAAGAAGACCGAACGAAGGATGCAAACTGCTATGCTCACTTCGAATGAGGAGGAGGACGACAACGACGATGCATCCGATTTTACGTCGTCGACAAGTGGAACCGGGGGGGACGTCGAAGACGAATACGAATATTAAAGGTATGCAGCCAAGGTATGTGATTTAGAAGAACTACGTGGACTTTGATTCCCAAATAAAGGGATACGTAGGCACCTTATTTAACATTATTAAGTTCGAGTATAATTTTTTGGCAACAAAATTTTTCATCGTACACGATATTCGAACTTAATAACTGTTAACTAAACTCAAGTCCATTACATTAATAATTTTTTTCTTTACACTTATTCGACTTCATTTGACGTACAATTTAGCATTTCTAAACTACCTCAAGTTGTACTTCTCCGCCATACTCAATAAAATACAACACCGTTAACCGTTTGGTTCCAAGAATTGACGCCCGATCATTATTTTTGTTTCATTTTGAAATGATATAGACAAACAGACTCAAAAACTTATATTTTCGAAGTATATACAAACTATTTATTCAAATAAACATTAATATACATTAAAATAACAAAAAAAGTTAAAAAAAAAAAATTAATAAACCCGCAAACCCGCCGGGCCCGACCCGGAACCGACTCGACCCGCCGGGTTTGCGACCCGGCGGTCAAGGGCCGGTTCAGTGAACCGGCCCTTAGTTACAAGCGGGCCGGGCTCGGTTCACTACACGGTGAACCGCCGACCCGGCAGGCCGGACGAAACCCGGCCCGGCAAATGGACACGTCTGACTAAAATTCTATACAATTAGGTTGAAAATCATGTGACTCAAAATTGTTGGTATTTTTTTTAATTATTCTTTGCACATAAAATTCTATAACGTACGTTGAAAAGTGAAAACCACGTGTTTACAGTATGTATATGCATTTTTTTTTTTTAATTATTATTTTGAACCGTTGGGAAATAGAATAATTGTTATACCAAAATTTAAAATTTCAATCATTCAGCGCATAATATAGCGAATAGTATTAACCAACGGATGATATTTATTTATTTATTTATTGGTTGATCATTAAAATTAAAATAACTAATAAACAGATTGAAATAACTTAATTTGTAGTACCACAAGTGTGAGTCCCATGCGAACTGCGCAATGTGTGATGTGCGGGATAACGATTTTAAGATGGACTTTTATAAATAGAAGATTATTCGATATTAAAAGAGTTATTATAGGCCAATTGTACACTTGTAAATTAGTCATCATGCAAAAATTATATATTATTAAATTTTTTCATGTACTCAACGTTTTTAGTTTGGTTTGTTGGTAAGTCATTATCCCCACACACTTAAAGTTAAAAATTTTTATATTTTTATTATAAGAAGTTTAACTAATAAAGATTCCTAACTCAAAAGGATTTCAATTTAATATCATATCCTTTGAAAACTTGATCAAAGGTATTTCGTCAGCTCAACTCAGACTACTGATGCAGTTTATATTTAACCAAGTCTAAATTTGTTAAATATAATTCATATATGTCATTATTAATAAAAAATACTTGACAGTCATTATATACTTTATTTTTTAATATTTCTAAATAGTTAATTAAATTAAATTAAAATAGTATAGAAGCTTTCATACTCTTTTTATATTAAAATTTCTTTTGTAATGATAATTAGAAAATAGTATACATATTCAAAAATAATATTACACATCTTATTATCCAGAATACTGCATGTAATAGCCCAAAATTGTGTAAATTTTACTTTTAAAGGGTTCGAATTTTGATAAATTAGATTGTGCATTTTCAGGTGATGTTTAAACTCATCCTATATATTCGTTTTCCAAGTTGTCCAGAATGTATGTCATAACTCAAAATTATGTGAAATATAGATTTAAAGGCTTGAAGATTTTGATAAATTAGATTACCCATATGTCAGTCATGACTCAGGTAAAGTTCATATTGGCATTTTATATGACCACACATGCATACATATTCACTTTCGCATAAGATTACCATCATCGTTACTCCCCGAGGTGAAGGCCATCGCTATCAGAAAAAATTTAGACAAACCATAACATACAATATCAATTCCAATGTAAAAAAAAACTATAAAATATGAATAAAAATGTAAATAAACATGTATAATATAAATTTTTGAAAAATATATAATAATTTGTTCTTTCGGCCACTTAATTGTAAATCAATTTAATGATTTATAAAACCTCAAATTTAGCTAGATTGTTAGATTTTGAATGTTGATCGATTGTATATTTGAATGTTGATTTTTTACTTTATTTTTTTTATGTAATAACATATTTTCAACTTTATTTATTTTTTATTAATAAAATCTTCATTTGATAAGCTGTCATCAACAAAAAAACGTTATGCAATCTGTGCAAAAGTTCAATGTAAATCAAATTTTGAACAAAAAAACATATTTTTTTTTTGTTTTCATAAATTATAGATCTTAAACTTAAATTATAAATACATGAAATCTCATTTTTTTCTTAAAAAAAAGTTTGAGGGTGATACGGATTCTAAGTTTTTAAAAACTTGATGGTCCACATATCAATATCTATATTCATAAGTAAGCGTTTCTACGTAAACTACAAACTCATTTTTAACATTTAAATTGGGTCCCCTGAGTAAAAATTCTAGCTCCGTCACTGACTGTACGTTAGAAAAATAAACCTTAATTGACCTGGTCAATCCATGGGAAAAAAACCTTCAACTCATCAGCATAGGAACTCAGCATATTGCAGGCAGTGGCCTTTTCATCTTGTAAAATTAGTTGGAAATACATATAATAAGGACCACTATTTCAACAAAAATATCGTTCATTTACCATTAATATTATTCATTAAAAAATATTTTTCTTGATTGGTCATAAGTTGTTCATCGATGCTTCATATCATGTCGCTCATCCAACAATATTGCAGTAGTCGAATATTATTAGATTGAATGATCGAAAGAGAGAATATGAACAAAAGAGGGAGAAAGGAAAACGGCAACTCGAATAAAATGAATGAATGATGAATAATGTGTCACTAGGGTTTCTGTACCCTTTATATACAAGTACTAAAATGACTAAAGTGTCAAAGAGCTAATGACACTTTTACCTAACAAATAAGACTATTACATTCTAACTAAGAGTACAACATAGTAAAGCATAATGTACATTCTATTACCCCCCCTCAAGTGGAGCATGTATATTAGGCATGCTCAACTTGGAGAGAAGGTGTTTGAAAAGAGGTCCTGGCAGTGGTTTGGTCAAGAAGTCGGCTAGTTGATCTTTTGTTGAGATGTGGTGAAGCTGTATCAAGCCTTGAGCTATCTTCTCTCTAACAAGATGACAGTCCAGCTCTATATGTTTGGTTCTTTCATGGAAAACTGGGTTGGAGGCCATGGCTAAGGCAGATTTGCTATCTGTAAACAGAGAGGCAGGTGTAGTTAGTGAAATATGTAATTCTTTGCAAAGAGAAGACAACCATTGGATTTCACAGGAAGTATAGGCAAGGGCCCTATACTCTGCTTCTGCAGAAGATCTACTTATAGTAGGTTGTTTCTTTGATTTCCAAGAAATGAGAGAATCACCAAGAAATATTAAGTAACCAGTTACACTTTTTCTAGTGTCAATACATGAGGCCCGATCACTATCTGAGTATGCTGTAATATGTAAATTGGAAGATTTGGGAAAGAGTATACCTTGTCCAATTGTACCCTTGACATACCTGAGTACCTTTTGTGCTGATTTGAAATGCAGTTGAGTGGGATTAGACATAAACTGACTCAAAGACTGAACAGAATAGGCAATATCAGGCCTGCTAATACTTAAGTATAAAAGTTTTCCAACAAGTCTTCTGTATTCAGAAGGGTTTTCAATAGCAGGTGTAGTGTCATTCTTGCTGAGTTTTAAAGATGCATCCATGGGAGTGATTGAAGGTTTACTGGCTAATAAGCCACTGTCAGTCAATATGTCTAATGCATATTTTCTTTGACACATGTGAATGCCTTTATCAGAATGTGCAAACTCAAGGCCAAGAATGTATTTAAGTTTTCCCAAGTCCTTAATAGTAAAACAATTATGCAAATGAGACTTGATAGCATTGATTTTGCACATATTGTTCCCAGCAAGTATAATGTCATCAACATAAACAAGTAAAACTGTGAAAGAGGCAAATTCAGTCATAAAAAACAAGGAACAATCAGCAATAGATTGAGTGAAACCATAGGTAATCAAACAAGAGGTCAATTTTTGGAACCATTGTCTTGAGGCTTGCTTTAAGCCATATAGACTTTTGGTTAACTTACACACTCTTGTGTCAGAATCTGAACAATAACCAGGTGGAACAGTCATATATACTTCCTCATTTAAGTCTCCATGTAAGAAAGCATTGTTAACATCCAATTGGTGTATGTGCCAGTTTTTAAGAGATGCTAATGCAACAATAAATCTTACAGTTGTGATTTTAGCAACAGGTGAGAAAGTATCAAAGAAATCAATGCCTTCTTCTTGTGTATACCCCTTTGCAACTAATCTGGCTTTATATCTTTCAATAGTGCCATCTGATTTATATTTAATTTTGAAGACCCATTTACAGCCTATGCAATGTTTTCCTTTAGGTAAATCAGTTAGAACCCATGTATTTGTTTGCTCTAAGGCCTTTAATTCTTTGTTCATGGCCTCTTGCCAAAGGGGATCTTTGGCAGCCTGTTTATAAGTTTTGGGTTCAGTGGTAGAGGAAATCATTGCAGTAAAGCAGCTATGAGCTTCAGATAATTGACTTGTAGATAAGAAATCAGATATAGGATAAGTAGATGTACCAGGAATGTGTGAAACAGTATTTATGCAACATGAGGCACTTTGAGAGTTCAGGTTATGTTTATAGACATCTAAGTAAGCAGGAATTTTAGTAGGTCTGTTTGATCTTCTTCTAACAGGGGAAGAGTTTGAGGAAATGTGGTTGTGTTGGGTGTTGTTAGAAGAAGAATTATCAGGCATATTGGTATTTGGGTGTAAAGTGGCTGAGGGATGGTGACTGAGTAGTGGAGGTTGAGTTAGTGTAGGTGTAGGTGTAGGTGTAGGGTTACTTGGGTTTTGAGGGTGAGGAATAATAGGTATATCAAAGGTAATATGGGGCTCAGGGTTAGGAAATAAGGGAGCATGAATATCAGTTACTGAGGTAGATGCAAAAGGAAATACTGTTTCATAGAAGATTACATTCCTGGAAATTAATGTTTTCTTGGTATCTAGGTTGTAAAGTTTGTAGCCTTTACAACCTAAGGGATATCCAAGAAATATACATTTAGAAGCTCTTGGATCAAATTTGTTTCTATTTGCAACTAAAGTGGAAGAATAGCACAAACAGCCAATGACTTTCATATGATCATAAGTAGCAGGTTTTTGAAAAAGCATTTCAAAAGGAGATTTTTGATTAAGGACAGGGGTGGGGATTCTGTTTATGATATGTGCAGCAGCAAGAACACAATCAATCCAGAATGTTAAAGGTAAACTAGCATGAAATAAGAGAGCTCTTGCTACTTGTAAAAGGTGTTGGTGTTTTCTTTCCACTTTAGCATTTTGTTGAGGGGTTTCAACACAAGAAGTTTGATGTAAAATGCCAAAATCAGCATAAAATTGTTTAAGAAAGAACTCAGAACCATTGTCTGTTCTGATGATTTTGATTTTCTTTTCAAACTGAGTCAATACCATGTTATAAAAATGATTGAGGTGTTGTTGGATATCAGATTTTAAAATGGCAGGATAAATCCAAGTAAGTCTGCTGTAATCATCAACAATTGTAAGAAAATACTTGTGACCTGTATGAGATGGGACTGAGAAGGGTCCCCGAACATCACAGTGAATTAAATCAAAAGGGGAATCAGAAACAGATATACTTTCAGGAAAAGGCAATCTCTTCTGTCTAGAGAAGTGACACACATCACATGGGATTAGAGATTTACAAGTTGTTGGTGATAGAGACAGAGTTTGAAGCTTAGAGTAAGAAAGATGACCAAGTCTATAATGCCATATAGAGGAATCAACTTTGCTTACAGGTAAATGAGAGTTTACATGTAAAGGGGTAGCAGTAGCATTATTAAGGAAAACATGATTAGAGTCTAAAGTAAGATGATATAGGCCATCTTTGAGATCAGCAGAACCAATCACTTTCAGGTTTGACAGATCCTGTATTATGCAAGAAGATGACAAGAATTTGACAATGCAATTATTTGTGGCAGTTAATTTTGAAACAGAAATGAGATTAAATGAGAAAGATGGTACAAATAATGCATCATGCAGGATCAAAGAATCAGCAAGTTTAACTTGTCCAATGTGAGAAGCAGTAGCATAATTTCCATTAGGCAAAGTTATATTGACAGATGTACATGTAGCAGGAGAAGTATAAAAATCAGAAGCACAAAGCATGTGATCAGTAGCTCCAGTGTCAAGAATCCATGTACTTTTAGATAATGTTGTAGCACTCATACAAAAAGAGGATTGAGGAGTACCTGAAAGCTCAGCAAGTGCAGTAGCAACCACAGGAGCATTAGAGTTACCTTGTGATGTCTCCTGTGATTTCTTAAAAGCTAGAAACTCAGTAAACAAATGGTCAGTCATGGAATTTGCATCAGTAGGATTATCATAAGTTGGAGAAGAGGTGTCAGAAATAACAGCATGAGCAGAATGCTTTGGAAATTGCCTAGGACCACGAGGTCCAGTCCAATGAGAGGGATAACCAATGATTTGATAACATTTGTCAATTGTGTGTCCAGGGTAGCCACAATGGCTACATTTTGGTTTAGGTCTGTCATTTGGGTAAGAAGGTTTATTTGGAAAGGAATTTTGTGATTTGTTATAAGGAGGTTTGTTTGGAAAGGAATTTGGTGGTTTGTTGGATTTAGCCAGCATAGCAAGAGAATCTGTTGGTTTAATGGTGTTGGAGAGAGTTCTCTGGCTTTCTTCTTGGAGAAGGAGTGAGTATACAGTAGCAAGTGGAGGTAGAGGATCAGATAGTAAACAATGGCTTCTTAGAGATGAATAGGACTCATTTAGGCCTATCAGAAACTTCATGACAGAGTCGTGATTTTGAGCAGTAGCCATAGCCTCAAATATTTTACAAGAACAAGTATTACAAGCACCACAAACACACTTGAATATCGGTCTATATGTAACATACTCGTCCCACAGAGACTTAAAATTGCTATAATACTGAGTTACAGACAGATTTCCCTGATCTATGGTACTAAGCGATTTCTCAAGGTGAAAAACCCTAGGACCACTAGATAAAGCATAGCGAGATTTCAATTCTTCCCAAACATTATGAGCAATCTTAAAAAACAACAATGACTGCCTAATATCCTTGTTAACAGAGTTCAATAGCCATGATAACACAAGGTTATTAGCGCGAGTCCAAGATACAGCGAGACTAGGGTTTTGAGTAGGGTTAGGATTAGGTAATGTACCGTCAACAATCCCTAGTTTGTTTTTTACGCTGAGAGCCATAGAGACGGCGCGTGACCAGGAAATGTAGTTGTCACCGTTGAAGAGCTCGGCTACAATGAGTGCGCCGGGATTATCGCTGGGATGTAGAAAGTACGGCGAGGTAGGGTCGTCAGAAGGATTCAGATTTTGCGACATGATGCTCGAACAAACAGAAATCGGCAATTGATCGATCACGAACAAAGAATAGTGCAGCGGAAATCAGGATCTACGGGCGAATGATACCATATTAGATTGAATGATCGAAAGAGAGAATATGAACAAAAGAGGGAGAAAGGAAAACGGCAATTCGAATAAAATGACTAAAGTGTCAAAGAGCTAATGACACTTTTACCTAACAAATAAGACTATTACATTCTAACTAAGAGTGCAACATAGTAAAGCATAATGTACATTCTATTAAATATTGAGTCATTTCCTCTCATCATAAATTAGCCAAGCTAGG